ATTTGGAGAAACAGTTAAATGCTTCTGAAACTTCCCTTGAGTTCCTGGGGGCAATCAGTTGGTGACAGAAGGGCATCAGTGAAAGAATTAGGACATATCATTAAGTGTAAGGAAGTGTCATTAGAGACCAAGGCCAAGATTATCCACACCCTCATATTCCCAATCACTATATACAGGTGCAAAAGTCGGACAGTGAAGAGGCTGACCACAAAAAATCGCTTCATTTGAAATATGCTGTTGGAGAGGAGCTCTAGGAGACACTTGACTGCCAGAAAGATGCACAAGTGGGTCCTGGAGCAAATAAGGACTAAATCATCACTGGAGGCAAAGATGATAAAACTGAGGCTGTCCTACTTTGGGTACATCACGAGAAGACAGGATTCTTTGGAAAAGACAATAATGCTGGGAAAAGTAGAAGGCAGCAGGAAAAGAGGAAGACCAAATATGAGGTGGATTGACTCCACAAAGAAAGCCATAGGCATGAGTCTACAGGGGCTGAGTGGTGTTGTTAAGGACAGGACATGGTGGACATCACTCATTCACAGGGTTGCCAGGAGTCGGAGCTGCCTCGGTTGCAAGTTAACTACAAAGCTGGAGGTCCATGTTGAAGAAACACATTTCTTTCTACACTACTTTGTACTTCACCACTTGTCTGTTCATTCATTCATTCATCCAGTAAGCATACATTAAGCTCTGCCATGTGCTAGTACACTCTCTGGAGAGACTGGTGAGCAACACAGATACAGTGGCTGACCGCATGGAACTTAAGATCTGTTCATGCGGCTGCCATAACAAATCAGCATGAACTTGGTAGCTTAAAACAACAGAAACTTACTCTCTCACAGCTCTGGAGGTCTTAAGTTCAAAGTCAAGGTGTCAGTGGGCTGCGCTCCCTCCATCACTCTAGGGGAGCATCCTTTCTTGCCTCTTCCAGCTTCTGGTGGCTCCAGATGTTCCTTGGCTTATGGCTGCATCACTCCAGTCTCTGTCTCTGACTTCCCATGACTATCTCCTCTTTTCCCTGTGTGTCTTTCCTCTGGGTGTCTCTTATAAAGGACATTTATCACAGGGTTTAGGGCCCATGGGGATAATCCAGGATGATCTCAAGTTCCTTAATTATACCTGCAAAGACTCTTCTTCCAAATAAGGTCACATTGACAGGTTTCCAAGGTTAGGACATGGACATATCTCTTCGGGGGCCACCATTTAACTCACTGCAGTTGGTGAACAGGTTAAGAGTGTGGAGCATGTTACAAAGGGGGCTCATAGGGTGCTCAAGAAAAGGGTGCAACAACCTCTTCTTTGGGGGAAGGCTTGTCAGAGGAAGTGACATTGTTTGAAATCAGAAGGAAGAACATTACAGAGCGGTGGATCATTACAAAGGAAGGAAGACGGAGCTCTATGAGATGGGGCACCTCCCAGGGAAGGAAGGGGAGGCAAGCTGGGCTGGGACAGAGAGGGTCTGTGTGTGGGAAGGGGCGAAGTGGGCTGGAGAGACAGGTGGGTTCTGATCACAGGGCCCCATACCACCTTGTGGTTTTATATGGAGTAAAATGATCTGATTTGCATTTTTAAAAGATTTCCCTGGCTCCTCCTTTTTCCTCCCCAGCCTCCAACGGCCTAATTTTCTGATGATCGCCAACAATATTGTCAGTGGGAAATCCCTGACAATCCCAGGAGGCTCAGGTGAGGGCAGGTGCAGGTTGGAACGCATCAAACGCCCCCTTATTAGCATCTAATTTGCACTCTCTCCCACCCCTGTTCCCCATCTGCCTTAATTTTGGTTTTGCAAATTGTAAAGCAGTAAAATATTACCTCAAGGCCTAAGATACCAAAGGCAATTTAATAATGTGAAAAAATAAGAGGTGTTTTTTGCTGTTCTGACATTTATTCTTCCTGGACTCGTTATTTTTCCTAATGAACGTTTCTTTTTCTCTTTCTGTTTTTTCTCTTTCTCTTTCTGCTTATCCGTCTTAACACATGCCATTTACCACCTCTGACCTGCTGATTAGGGGGCTGGGCACCGGCATACCTCTCTGTCAGGGAAGGAGAGGAAAAATTGCGAAGTAAATGGCGAGATGCTGCAGGATAGCGAGCAGGAAACTCTGCCGTGTTTAACAGAATGCGGGACCCAAATGAAATGCGAGGCCCCCAGCGAGGTGCGGCTGAGCCCCGGGCAGGTGCGGGCGCCACGTGACTGATTATTCAAATTGGCCGATGATTAACTCGGTTTATATTGATGCAAATAATCTTGCTGGAGCCGGCCACGGCTAATGCATTTTGGAACTGTGGTTTTCCATCGATAGCACAAAATAGTGTAGAGGAAAGCTATTTTCATAATATTAATAATGGAATTACAGAATCAGGTCACTTAAAGGAACGGCGCTGACTCAGCCACAGCAGCGTTGACTTGAATGTGGAGATTAATACTGAGCAAAACGAAGCACAAACCTTCTGCAGCTATCTCATGGCATAAAACACGTCCCTTCACGTTTGTTTTTTTAAAGAGAAAGAGCTTTAAAAAATGACTTAAGCCAGTACCATTCTCAGATGAATTTATTGCAAAGGAAAGAACTCAGATGAATTTATTGCTTGCGCAGAGAGCCCCCACTAAGGTGTTTTTCCTTTTTTCTTTGATTAAATATTGGGTTTACCTTCCTTGCCCATGCCCTGGTTTAACGTCCAAGTCTAGAACAATGTTTGTAACTGCTTTCTGGAGGGCTGGCTGAAGTGGCAAACTAAGATCAATAAATGCCCTCTAAGGGAAGGAATGTATTTGCCAATGAAGACGTAGCAGGGTTGAGGAGAAATTCTGTGGAGATCTCTGGGGATCTTCCACTGGGCAGACTGAGCCAAGGTGAGCCCTGGGGTCTTTGCTGGGCAGGGCTTGGGGGACACAGTGGTGGGGCAAAAGAGGGGGCTCTCTCTGGGGACACTAAAAATAGCCTTGGAAATACCCAGGGAGGACACAGGGATGTGCATATGAAGATGTTCACTGCAGCGTATTTATAAAGGTGAACCATCCGGCACCGACTAATTGCCTGAGTAACTCAAGGGAGATTTCGGAAGCATGTAACTGTTTCTCTAAATTGTTTTTTTCTTTTTTGTGATGTTAACAGATACAATCACCAACCACCCTGAACCAGATCAGGCCAGGAGCAGCCAGAGCAGCGCCTGTGCAGATGAGCAGAGAGATGACCTGAAGTCGCCCTTTACTTCATTTTAGTCCTAAGATCTCTGCTTCAGGAGGAGCTTAGTTCTTATTACCATAACATGCGATGTATACGGAAGCACGTTTTCCAACTGAGCCTGCGCAATTGAATGCCCACCTCTCCCTTTTGAATATTCATTCCCCATCTGAAATAAAAGGCCCCTGCTGCCCGGTGTTCTGTGGAGGCGGGTGGGGGGGGGCAGCTGTGCGTTTGGAGAAGATTCCACGTGGTCTCCTATTTGCCGCAAATAAATTTTACTTTGTGTGACAACTACCTCTGGAGAAGGCTCTGATTTCAACTCACCAGGAACTGGACCCAATTTGCTTTGGTAACACAACCAGAACCTTAAGGCAAATTAGGATACTTTCAGAAATGGAATATTATGCAGATATTAACAATCATATTGAAGGGATAGGAGAAAATGTTTGTGGTATATTAAGTCCAGAAGCAGCGTACGAATATTTTTTTAAAGAAAGCTGGGGCTCTAGTCGTACCCATTTGTCCAGCCCATGTCAGCTCCCTCTTCTGGGGTCTTGGGGACTTCTTGGAATAGTGTAGGAGCCACCCTCGTAAAGAAGCCACTGCTTCTCCTTCAGAAATACCTCTTCTCAGGCTAAGGAGGGGCCTGGGGTAGAATTACAGGGCAAGAAGGGACTTGGTAGGGAATCAAAATCTATCAGAAGTTAAGGCACATCATGCTTTAAAAAAAATGTGGTAAAATACATAAACTTTAGCATTGAACTATTTTAAAGTGTACAATCCAGTGGCATTTATACATTCATTATGTGCAACCATCATCAACACCCTTTCTTAGTTTTGAGTTTCCTGGTGAATTGAGAAACTTTCCTTTAATATATTCAGGGAATTGTGCTGAAGGCCTCTTGAGCACACAGCTAGAGGTTGCCTGCTAGTCTAGGCTGATCTCCATGCATCAGCCAATAGCTGGACTATCAACTGTGAAGCCACCAGCCGCCGGTAGCAGAACCATGTTGTGGCAGGGTCACGGGATTAAGAGCCAGATCGATCTTCTTGGTTGTATCTGTCTCCTTTTATCGGTTTCGTGGGTTATTACCACGACATCATCACTTATGGAGTGAGCTGCTTTCTCCCTATCTGTGAATGGGGCCACTGATGCCCATCTTTCTTTGCTCAGTCAACAAACCTTTATCCAGCGTCTCCTACAGGCCAGGCCTTGTGTTCCTCCTGGACATGAATGTGGGGAGGAAGTGGTAGTAAATGCCTTTCTGGGATTTCTCTTGTAAAGATGTGCATTGGAGCAGAGAAAGTGGAGAATCCTATACCCACCAAGATTATCTGAGGGGCAGAGGGAATGGGGTAGATGAAGGGATAATCCGAAGGTGGAAAGAGGAGGGACAGCCTACCAGAAACATTCCTTTTGGTGTCCTGCACAGAGGGAAAATTTTGCATTAGGGATGCTTTTATTTTTTAAAACCACCAGATCTTCCTTCCTCCTTTATTGTCATGATCTATGGCTGTTTTGCTTCTGTTAAGGCATCTTTTGGGGGGACTTTGTAAACATTTCATCTGGCAGTGCTCCTGGTACACCTTGGATGCTACTCAGTCCCCTGGGAGCCTTGCTAACACAAGTCTAACCACCTTCAGGATAGTGGGAACGTTGGCCTCCTTATTTTTAGCAACCAGAGTGGAATGCAGTAAGCAAACGGTGATAAATATCACTTTATACTAAATGGTTCACAATAATGAAAAAGCAACCTCTGTCTTAAAATTGGCCATTCTTTTCAATGTAATTTTTTTCCCCCTGGGCAGACAAATTGGCTGAGTTGGAGTGGGCAGATGTAGCTTTCATCAGTCCTGGATAGACTTCACGGTGGCTCGCCCAATGGGACATGCAGAATATCTGGCTGTGGTCTTCGGTACCCATCCACCAGGAAGCAGGTGTGGCAAATGTTGCTGGTGGGATGCAGCCCTGGAGAAAGTATTCACCTTTGTAAGGAAATAATTCCCAGCCCTGGGAGCAGCTGGTATGTAATACCAAAACCCCAGCCATCTTCACCAGCCCAATTTATTTACACTTGAATATGAGCTTTTAGTGGGGACAGCACCACTCATTATAATTAAGGAGGAGTCTAGGCTCTCTGATGACGGGAGGAGCTCTAGCGGTTCTGCCTTGGGGACTTTGCGTGAGAGGCTGGTGGTTTGGTTTGAGGCTACCACTCTGGGGACTGGGAGGGCTGGAGGGGCCGTGCCCAAGTGTGAGTTTGCTCCCGTAGGCTTTATTCCCCTGTGCAGGGATGATTGGACATTTCAAATGATGCTGCCTCTGATGGGTAAGGTCATGCTTTTCATTCCAAGGGAAGTTCACAAAGTTAGTGCCTTTTTAAAAAAAATTAATAGACTTTCTTCCTTAGAGCAGCTTTAAGTTTATAGAAAAATTGTGCAGAAAGTACAGAGAGTTCTCATCCACTCGCTTCCCCTCCCCTCCTCCAGTTCCCTCTGTTATTAACATCTTACATTAGTGTGCTGGATTTGTCACAATTGTTGAACAGATTTTGGTACATTGTTACTACTAAAATCCATCATTTACCTTAGGGTTTGCTCTGTGTCATGCAGTTCTATAGGTTTTGCCAAATGCATAACGTCCTTTCTCCATCGTTACAGGATCGTACAGCAGTGAGGCCTTTTCACAGTGCGGCAGAGCCCTCCTGGGAGTGCCCAGCACCTCCTCCAAGCAGCACTCAGGCTCTGGCTAGAGCTCTTGTGGGCTGGGCAAAGGGGACATGAGTGCCACGCTGTCTGGGAACAGTGTTGCTTGTCCCTGTCCAATGGGGAAAGAAGAGCTGGTCTCAGACATCAAGAGGGGTGTCACAAACCCCTAAGAGAGGTGTTCAGTTCCCTCTGAAACAGGTGAGGATGCTTCCTGTACCCCCGTCTCCCAGCTAGACGTCCCTGCCCATTGACCATTAGGTTCATGTTTTCTTGGGCCATTTGGAGAGGCGTAGGTATTCACAAGGGCAGGTGGATGATGCCAAGCAGTCCCATGGCATACACAGGTGTCACTCTGGCTGCACAGTTGGTGGCCAAGGCGCTGGCCCTCTCCTGCACTGACCAGAACCACAGGTGCTGTGGAGGCAGTGGTCACAGCCAGCGATGAGGACTCGGCTTCCATGTGGTCACTGGCCTTGACAAAGCCTCTGCAGTGGTCCTCCTCTGGGTCCCCTCACGCGACTGTTCCTGGGCAAAGGCCCCTCTCTTTTCATGGGCGACATTCTCAGGATCAGCTCCCATGGTGTGCGGTTCCATGGACTGCTGCTGTACCACCTGGAGCTCTCCAGGGGGCCAATCCCTGCATCCTCCTCATCCCTTCATCCTTCAAGAAGCTCTATCCCCTCTTTCTTTCTCAGTGGAGCCTCCCAAGAAGGAGTAAGCCCGATGGCCTTTGGGAGTGGAGACATCTGATAGTCCTGTTGAAACTGTCCTTTTTAATACCGAGACTTCTTGATGTTCTGTTCAGGCCTCCAGTCAAGACTTACTGAACATCACAGGCTGTGTTTTCTGTGCTTGGAGGAAACAGAAAAGCTGTGTTTCTCATGCTTGGAGCACAGTAGAAAGGAGGGAGGACAGTGGCTGGGAGAAATGGTTACAACAAGACAGTAAGCAGAAGAGATGCCCACAGGGGTCTGAAGCGAGGGCTGGCAGGCAGCAGCTGGCACTGCCTTTGGCAATGTGGAAACACTCCCTAAAAGGCTCTCAGAAATGTGGGGAGAGAAGCATCCTATCAGAGCCGTAGCATGGGGGCTCCGACTCCCTTAGATGGGTATTGAAGTGATAGCCCTGAAGTCTGGAGAACCTTACATACCCATTTTACTGATGAGAAAACTGAGGTTCAGAGATGTGAAGAAACCAGCCACGGACACATACTGCTGAAGCCAAGCATGAGATCTGAACCTGGGACTACTGCTTTCCATGGCTCCGGGTTTTATGCTGCACTTTGAAGGTGTCTTGCGGCTGGCTGGGGTAACCACAGGAGGTGGGATGTTCATTAGACTTTAATAAAGGGGTTAATGAAATGAGCAGAGGTACAGAAGCTGGAGCTAACAAAACAAGTCAGCATTTGCTGAGCACTCACTGTGTACCCGAATAATTCCAAGAGCTTTGCTCTCCATGGATTGACTCATTTAATCCTCAAAACAATTATATCGTTTATTATTATTATCATCCCCATTTTAAGATGAGAAAACTGAGCTTCAGAGAAGTTAAGTGGCTTCCCCAAGTAAGAGGGTCTAGAGCCTTATTCTGAGCTACCACCAAGCATGGTCAGGGCTGAAGCTTAACGTTAAAGTTGCTGTTGATTGAGCCCTGCTGTATACATGGGACTCTGTGCCAGACACCTGCAAACACTCTTAAATGTAAACCTCACCCCAACTCTGTGAGGGAAGGCATATGTATTTTGGTTTTACAGATAAAGAAACTGAGTCTCAGAGAGGTCAAACAACTTATGCCTGGCCACACAGCTAATAAGTGGTGGGGCTAGAATCCAGATCTGTCTGGATTAAACCTGGGGCTCTTTCTCATATGTTGGTGGCTTCCATACCTGGGAAACCCATCTGGATAACCCAGGGAGCATTTACACAACATGGATTCCTGACCCCACCCCTGGAGACCGATGGAGGAGCCGGGGAGGCCTGGGAATACTCATTTTATAGACACCTTCTTGCACGGTTCACTGCAGCCCCTGGGCTGTCTCTGGTAGCTCACTAGGTGTCCGGTGCCTTTCCCTGGGGGACATGCTGCCCTCTCAGGAGCATTATGCTCCGGCTGGAGTGCAGGCCACGCTGCAGCATTGCTTTGTGGCCCGGTCCAGTTGGTGAAGTTGCCCTGATAATTTGAGTTGACATGGAGATCTGAATCCCCCTGTGAACTGCTCACCTGGGGAGCCAATCTAGAATCAGAAGCCGCTTTATTGCCTTCCCACAGAGGTCCAGGGGACATGGCATACTGGAAACCTGCATGCCCATCCCTTCTGCATGGCCAGTCCCCCATCCTCCTGCCTGTAGGAGGATCCCAAGGGAGCCCAAATCACCCCTCAGAGGTGCCTTGGTGAGATCTGGAGTCTGAGCAAGGGCCATCATCTAGGTCAGTGTTTCTCAACCCTGGCTGCACTCAATCAGGTTGCTTTGGGGCACTTCTGAGAGAAGACTAATGCCTGCTCTGCCCCAAACCAATCAAATGCAAACTTCTGAGCATGGGGAGAGGGAATGGATATATATATGTATATGTATATATGTTTTTGCTGAGGAAGATTCGCCCTGAGCTAACATCAGTGCCACTCTTCCTCCATTTTGCATGTGGGTTGCTGCCACAGCATGGCTGGTGATGAGTGGTGTACGTCCACGCCCAGGAACTGAACCCAGGCTACCAAAGTGGAGCACACCAAACTTAAGCTCTAGGCCATGGAGCCAGCCCCAGAATGGGTATTTTTAAAAAGCTCTGTAGGTGATTCTGGTACGGAGGCCAGGTTGCAAACTGTCATTTTGGATGAAGCTGATGTTTGGTTACCTCTCTGATGCTTAGTTCCTGTGGCTTTATTTTGCTTTATCAAATGCTGTGGGTTTAAACAATTTTTTAATTAATAAACTTTATTTTTCAGTACAGAGAGTTCCCATATATCCCTACATTCTCACACACACAGCTTCCCCCATCAAATGCTGTTTTCGATACAAATTTGCAAGACTTGAAATAACCAAAGGATGACTCTCAGATTTCCTCTCCTGGAAGGATGCTCCCTAAAATCGCTCATGCACAAACTTAGTGTTGGCAAAATTTTCACGGCACCTGCTTGAGTAACTGGCTGAATCCCTGGCTTCGCTCTGGCCGCAGCGTCTGGCCATGCTGGCTGCTCCCACTGCCTGGTTGCAGGCGGGCCTGCAGGATTTGTCTGGCGTATGCTCTGTGGGTAAAACCTTCCTGTCTCAGTGACAAATCTGCAAGGCACTCTGCATGAGCAAGCATATAGAAAAGGGCTTAGAAAGAGATTTTACAAGAATCATGTTCAAACTCCTTGAAACAAAGGAACCATCCCCCAAACCCCCAACTTTGCCCCCATTTCTTTCTAAAATTCTCCTCAGCTCTCTGAAAATCTTATTTTCAACTTTTTCCTCAGCTTCTTAAATATGAAAACATTTCACTAGAGGGCACTTCAAGACTGAGTAAGAGAAAAACCTAGAAACTTGGTGACAATAGATTCCCCTTCATCGTTAACTAGGTAAACAGTCCTGCACAAAACAAAATATAAAAAATACATAAGGAATTAAATATGTATTTAGCTGAAACTGTGATTCAGTTTCTGTGGGTTGTTTTGTTGAAAGTGGACATGGGAAGAATGTGGCATTCTTGGACTTACTGGCCATTTTGACTTGAGGATTAGGTAATGATAATGGTAGTAACAATAATAGTCTCCTCCTCTGGTTTAGGATGGACCTTGCTTCCTGCAGTGCTTCAGTGCAACTGAGTGAAGATTTTACTCAGCTTCATGCTTGAGAAACGTCTTCTTCCTCAACCTTAGTGGACAGCATCAGTGTGGGGGCTGGCGAGTCCCTGCCGCAGGATTCCTGGAGGACTGTCTACGGAGGAGAGGGGTGGCTCTGCAGGCGCATCCGGGACCTGGGTTCCAGACCTGGCCTCTTTCTATCCAGTGGTGTGACCTTGGGCAAGTCACTGCCCCTCTGTGGAGCTCCGTGTCCTCACTTGTAAAATGGCAGTACTGGACCAGGAGATGCTGAAGATCTCTTTCCAGTCTGACGTGCTCTAAGACTCTCCCAAGCTTCTCCTTGTGCTTGGATTGTTCACGCTGCATTTCTTCCGGAGTTTGGTGTGAACAGTTACACCGAAGACAGCTCCAGGGAGAAAGACAGACAGACAGAAGGATATGAGTGTGAGTCCTGGTTCTGGACTTGCTGGCCACCTTTGGGAGCTGAATGGGTTGAACTGTGTCTCCCCAAAAGATGCTGAAGCCCTACCCCCCAGTACCTATGAATGAAGTGCCGTACCGTGAATGTGACCTTATTTGGAAATAGAGTCTATGCTAGTGATCAAGTTAAGATGAGACCATTAGGGTGGACTTTAAACCAATATGACTGTTGTCCTTATGAAAAGGAGAAATTTGGACTCAGTGACAGATGCAGACGGGGAGAACACCATGAGAAGATGGAGGAAGCATCCTTTGAAGGGGTGATGCTTCTTCAAGCCAAGGAACACCGAAGAATGCCAGCAAACCACCAGAAGCTAGGGGAGAGGCCTGGGACACATTCTCCCGTACAGTCTTGGAAGGAACCAACCCTGCTGATACCTTGATCTTGGACCTCTAGCCTCCAGAGTGGTATTTAATTGTGATACTGTTAAGATTTATTTAATAGTAAATACATTTCTCTTATTTAATCCACCTACTTCATAATACTTTGTTATGGTGGCAGCCCTAGCAAACTAATACAGGACACTGTTTAACGCATAAGGATGAGACTAAATGAGAGGATGTGTAGGAAGGCCCCTGGCACACAGGGCCTGGCATCTAGTGTGCACTTATTAAATGTTAGTTAGTTATTATAAGGAGGGAATAAAGGAGGGAGGAAGAGAAGGGTGGAAGAATGAGGACGGAAACTCCTGGTATTAGGTGCTAGGAACTTTCCATATTTATCTTTATCTCTAACAACCATTTTGCTGCAGAGGGAATGGGGGCTCTCAGAGGTTAAGTCATTTGCTGAAAGTCACGGCTAGGAAGTGGTAGACAGCAAATTAGTCTTTCTGACTCTAAAACCTGTGCTTGTTATGCCTTGTTATGCTTGCTGTTAGGGCCTGGTTTTATTTATCCTGCCGTGGTAAGCCTCACTCATTCATTCATAACATTCATTCACTTGCTCAAGAGACAGAAGGAGATGGAGCTGGGTCCATTCCAGTGAGCCAATGGCAGACTCAGCTCCACGAAGTCATGGGCTTTCTGGAATGGTTGAAGTTAATTGCCCAGAAGATTGTTCACTGCTGCAGGTGAGAGTGAGGCT